TCATGTATGTTTCAGGCAGATGACCAGGACGCTCAAAATGCGTCTTCGAAGGAGGCAGCCGCCCAACGTGTTCCGGATGATATCCAAGGTCTACAGCGGGAACTAACAACTGTGCGGCAGCAACTGGACAAACAGGTTAGTGTATGATCTTCGCCACCGTTTTTCTATCCTTGCCTTATGTTTCAGGCTGAAATTGGACTGCATAAAGCTTGTTTGGGGTGGGTACTATTGTATGACCGTGACCTCCCTATATTTTCCAGAGTTGACCTAACGGAACAGATGTGCGTGATGTCACAGTATGACCGTGACCTCCCTATATTTTCCAGAGTTGACCTAACGGAACAGATGTGCGATGATGTCACAAAAACCTCTCTTGGCTACCATGTCTGTTGTATCCTCACTTTTTGAGACATTTGTTCTAGAGTTTGAGTCCTTCCTTGAGCGGTGCCTTCTGACTAATACATTAAATCTGTGCAAGGTCGTTCGTCTAAAATAGAAACGCACACACAAGAACCTAAGTAAATCAGCGAAGGGTTGAGTGAGCCACCTACCGTTGTTGGTTCAACGTTGGAACCGCTGTTAACGGATTTCGAAGTGACGCGCGAACAGAACTCCTCGGAATCTACTTGCATGGACCGGATGAATGTTTCCCTTGTTAAGCAAGTGGGCTTGAGATGGCTCATTGGCTCACGTGCGATCTTACTGACCCGAAGGTTTGTGTTTCCATCCCAACCTTAGCATCTCGACTGCTCCTGTCTAGGCTTGGACTGACCGACAGTATCTCAGCCGTCTCAGTACCTGCCGTCATGGCAGCTACACATCGAAGGGGCTTTACAACTGAACGATTATTGTTTAGGCAAGTGCCAGTCTGTGTAGAAAAACGTGCGGGAAACTTGTTTCCACCTTGATTAAAAAACTTGGCTGCAGAAAGGGTATCTCTTCTACTTCACGACTCACTTATTTGGTAGACATTATATTTTTTATTTTCGTGTGGTTGAGCGGGGAACCAACCGTTTGAATGATATATTATACGGTCTTTTACGTATCCAAACTGCGACTTGTTCCCCAGCCCAACTGACTTCCTTCACGGTTTGGGAGCTGTTTTTTCTTTGTTTGTTGCAGAAAGAAGAGTACGCTCGGCTCAAAAATGCCTACACTATCCTGGCAACCGCCACAAACATTGGTTCTCTGGCATCGGAGGCTATAACATCATTTGACGTGACGCATGATTTGGGCCAGCTGTCGAATTCCTCTTCGTTGGCTGAGTCCATTGGCGACTTGCCCACTGTAAGCACTCCGCCCTGTGCGTCGCGTTCTCCCGTCTTTGACGAAACTTCCAATTTGGATGAGTTGGTTGGTAAGTCGTTTGTTTCGGTCCTTTTAGTTTGTATTTACCTTTTCCAGTCGCACGGTCGCTTCTCCTCACGCGCCTGTTGTTTTCCATGTTGCTAGCAGCTAACCGTGGTTCGGCTGAAGACTTGTCTGCCAGGGACGTGTCTGGCACCGCTGTGGATGTTGGTAAAGCCCAGACTGCCAACGTTTCGACTGTACCGCCTAACACATTCAACCCACTGATTCTCCCGAGTCGCACCAGGGCCGCTTCTGGAGTAAGTCGTCGACTGTGCTATGTAGTCATTCGATCACCAACATCACTTGCAGTGGTAAACTGGTAATGTCTGTCGGTGTTTAACTGCCATACAACCACGAGATGAGGAAATCTTAGTAAAAAGTGCAGGGGCGGAGATGTGTCTTCAGGGATAACCACTAAGAATAAGATGCCTACGCCTTCAAATAGGGTTGAAATAAACATATGTACCTTTGGTACCATCAACCGGATTGATACAGACTTCTCTGGGAACTTCAACCAACATAAGATAAGCCCCCAACGATTGACCTAAGCCAAGCACTCCGCACTTGACGTCATGAGTGCCTTTAAGCGTTTCTAGCCATGAGCAAAGGGGATTATATGGGTTCCAGTCTTGAAGCTGTTAAGATACTACTTTCGTTTAAAGTTGCAGTACCGTAGGCCGTCTCTGAAAACTTTTTTAACAACACTTATTTGGTAGGTGGTGGTTGAGCAGACCTATCACATGTTGTAGCCATCATAATATGATGAAATAAATAACGATAGCCATGGACATGCTGCTCTATCTTTCATGGACTGCCCTCGGCTAACTCTTGCTACACTATCGAGAAAGCAGCAATCAATCATCTAACATCTCCATATCGGAGCGACCAAATTTCGCAACCACAAATCATGTTACCAGAAATCAGTGAGACTCCTTTGCATAGCAATTTGGTTTTCACCAGAGACTCAACTGAATCTCTTATCCATGCTGTTCAGTTGAAAACACAATCGATGTGCGAATGAGTGCATTTGTCGAGATTTGTCCAATTCGGGTTCACCTAGGACATGAGGTTGACGGAAACTCGGGGACTGCGCCTATCTGATGAGCCCCAAGAAGGCTGACACCGGGTGTGGGCTGTCGAGCAGTTTTCAGCAACCTGAAGTCTGAGTTCGCAACAACGTAATCTCATTTTGATATTTCGAGACCACAGGTTTTCCGTAGATCACTAACAACACTGTTCGCCGCTATTTGAATTCTTCGTTTGATTTTCAGTTGTGGTCGCTCGTGATTAGTTGACTGCGTTATTGGCCTTGTGGTAATTGGGGTCGGTTGATTCTTGTTTGTTCAGCGTCATCGATTGCTTTAAACACGGTCGCTTCTCCTCACGCGCCTGTTGTTTTCCATGTTGCTAGCAGCTAACCGTGGTTCGGCTGAAGACTTGTCTGCCAGGGACGTGTCTGGCACCGCTGTGGATGTTGGTAAAGCCCAGACTACCAACGTTTCGACCGTACCGCCTAACACATTCAACTCACTAATTCTCCCGAGTCGCACCAGGGCCGCTTCTGGAGTAAGTCGTCGACTGTGCTATGTAGTCATTCGATCACCAACATCACTTGCAGTGGTAAACTGGTAATGTCTGTCGGTGTTTAACTGCCATACAACCACGAGATGAGGAAATCTTAGTAAAAAGTGCAGGGGCGGAGATGTGTTTTCAGGGATAACGACTAAGAATAAGATGCCTACGCCTTCAAACAGGGTTGAAATAAACATATGTACCTTTGGTACCATCAACCGGATTGATACAGACTTCTCTGGGAACTTCAACCAACATAAGATAAGCCCCCAACGATTGACCTAAGCCAAGCACTCCGCACTTGACGTCATGAGTGCCTTTAAGCGTTTCTAGCCATGGGCAAAGGGGATTATATGGGTTCCAGTCTTGAAGCTGTTAAGATACTGCTTTCTGTTAAAGTTGCAGTACCGTAGGCCGTCTCTGAAAACTTTTTTAGCAACACTTATTTGGTAGGTGGTGGTTGAGCAGACCTATCACATGTTGTAGCCATCATAATATGATGAAATAAATAACGATAGCCATGGACATGCTGCTCTATCTTTCATGGACTGCCCTCGGCTAACTCTTGCTACACTATCGAGAAAGCAGCAATCAATCATCTAACATCTCCATATCGGAGCGACCAAATTTCGCAACCACAAATCATGTTACCAGAAATCAGTGAGACTCCTTTGCATAGCAATTTGGTTTTCACCAGAGACTCAACTGAATCTCTTATCCATGCTGTTCAGTTGAAAACACAATCGATGTGCGAATGAGTGCATTTGTCGAGATTTGTCCAATTCGGGTTCACCTAGGACATGAGGTTGACGGAAACTCGGGGACTGCGCCTGTCTGATGAGCCCCAAGAAGGCTGACACCGGGTGTGGGCTCTCGAGCAGTTTTCAGCAACCTGAAGTCTGAGTTCGCAACAACGTAATCTCATTTTAATATTTCGAGACCACAGGTTTTCCGTAGATCACTAACAACACTGTTCGCCGCTATTTGAATTCTTCGTTTGATTTTCAGTTGTGGTCGCTCGTGATTAGTTGACTGCTTTATTGGCCTTGTGGTAATTGGGGTCGGTTGATTCTTGTTTGTTCAGCGTCATCGATTGCTTTAAACACTGTTTACGAATGCAGCTGGGATATTACTGGGTTGCTTAAACATGGGTGGCACAATGGAAGTGCGACTGTTTGTTTGGAACTGCGAACCTTCCGGTTACTAGACTCCGATCCTACCTACCTGAGCTATCTCAAACTCAAGATTTTTGGATAAATCTGTGGCGTACCCTAACCGGAATTCGGAGCACGAAGATATTTACAAACATCGGTAGGGTTCCATCCATATTACAAGGCTCTTTTGAAGTCGAGAGAAACGGTGGTGTGCTTCAGGCTGTTCAAGTTCTTGACTTATTGGGAAGCAATGGTTGATGAACCCCTTACGGGATCCAATACTATGTTTGACTGACTGGCTAAACGTCGAGGTTTCGCCGACCTGATGTTCCAACTTTCGTGAATTCCGTACTTCAATGGTCCTTTGCGTTTCTTGAGATTCATGGTACCCCTATGTTTCTTTGTTCAAACTCGGACTACGTCTGAGCTGAGGTTAAATTGCTCATCTGGTTGGATTTTGTTCTGAGATTGCAACGAGTTATAGTGACTGTTATGGGATCCAGTGGCCTATGTGTACTCCCTCGGAAGCAATGCAGACACGGTATCCATCACCAGCTGTGATTGTATCGTCCCAGTTACGGTCATTACACAACGGGCTTTATTGAGTTGCTTTGAGATGTGACCTAAAATTTTTCCGTCGCTAAATGAAGAGTTCGCTTTTTTCCTGTTTATTGGGAAACCTAGCGGAATAATCGGCAGTTGACATCTTAACCACGCCAATGATGATCGGTGGCTATGCGATCAGTTTAACTCCAGGGTTGTTCAGCATCAGGGGCCACACAGTGTGAAACAGCGGCGAGCACCGCATCCAATTCTAGCAGTACAGGAAAACTGGTAACCTGTATAAAGTTACAAATTACGTCCGCAGTTGGCAGTTGCGTTTTGCATCTAAACGAAGCATTCAAGAAAGGCGTGTTTCTGATGAACCACAGATGGCATGGAGCGCAACAGATGGATACGACTAACTGCTAATGTTTGATTCATTTGATTAGCTACTTCCATGTCAACAAAGCACTATGTCATTTGCACGAAGGCGCTCATCTAATCGATCAGGTCTCCCAAGTTGAAGCAGGATACTGCATTGCCACAAAAATGCCGTCTAGTGGAATCATTACCACAGCTTTTCATTGAGTGTGGATAGCTGCACAGTAAACCGGTAATCACAAGCAGTCTATACTATGAGTAGGGTGGCCAGGTTCTTATTGAAAATCGGAGCCAAATTATCTTGTTGATCTGGACCAGGGATAGAAGAACCTGAGGCGATTTACTGGCGCTTCCGTGGTGATTTAGGGAGGGTGTACTTTTGACCTGCGAGTCAGGTTCTGTTGAAGCATGTGCACCCGAAAGGGTGGCACTCATACGGGTGGTTGTCATTTGGCTGGACAATATGCGGTTGTTTTGAGCGACAGCCTTCTGTTCGATCATTGAGGTGAGTTCTGTCTCGAAGTCCTCCAAGCATGTGCAGGCAGTGGTTCGCTCTGTCAGGTGTTGTATTTTTTTCTGAGAAGAAGATTGCGGTTTTCCAAGCTTACCTGAAGTCTGTCACGGTGGCGCAATTTCGACCGTCCCCGAGTGCGTTCCTCAGTTTTCAATTAGCTGTAAGCCAGCTCTGTCAGGATTGTTTCAGCACATTCGTTTTGCGTGACCTCTACAGCACAATTGTTCGCATATCAGTATGCACTCGAATCTGTAGATTTTGGCTCTGGAGAAATTTAGTGTTCAGAACCCGATCTAATCAATGCACCCGGTGTTTTACACAGGCCGTGTGCTCTGCCGTCACTATGGAGTCCGTGCTTCAGTACACAGTAATGTAGGTAGTACGATAACTCGGTGCACTGTTGTTAGGCAGGAATCCACGCGGATCCCACTACACCGCACGTCTTTAGGCGCTGCTACGGCCGAGAAGCCTAGCCCGCTCGAGGTTGGCCCAAAATTCGGGACGCTTGCCGGTCCGGCATCAAGACGAGATCTGATTGGTCAACAATCTGGACCCAACAGCCAATCATGACCCAGTATTGGCCAAATGCCGGTTGCCAATGGAGCTCCAGAACGCGTCAGAAATTCCAGAAAGTTATAGCCGCTTACGCTATATATACGAAGCGCTGTACAACTGTTCCTGATTTCGTTTTGGGCGTTAATAGACCTTTGTGCACCTTTGGTGTTTGTTTTGACGTGAACGCTAGCTTGGAAGGCTCAGACCGAGAACTAAGCTGAGGAAAATACAGTTACAACAACTGTGGCCTTGGTGCCGACACGTAGGTTGCGATTGCTCCGAGCGTCCCTATGGGGGTGACTGAGTAGAGCGCTTGCTGGGTACATAGTTCACTGTCGTTTGTGAACAGAGTGCAAACATGAGTCTCTTAGCAACACTTCAATCCGCACACGGCGTCTGTGAGCGAATGCCGGGGAGCATTTCGAGGTGTAGGTAGTACGATAACTCGGTGCACTGTGACCTTGGTGCCGACGCGTAGGTTGCGATTGCTCCGAGCGTCCCTATGGGGGTGACTGAGTAGAGCACTTGCTGGATACATAGTTCACTGTCGCTTGTGAACAGAGTGCAAACATAAGTCTCTTAGCAACACTCGGCGTCTGTGGGCGAATGCCGGGGAGCATTTCGAGACAGATAGAGAAGTTTCAAGCAGCACATCGATAACGCGGTTGAAGTGTAATGGTGAGTGAGGCCAGCATTACGCTACTGAACGTCGTGAATTCAGACGAAAGTCTATCCGCATGCATCTACAGGAGTTCTTATTTACCCTTGTAATGGATGTAAATTTTGGAGGGACACCTTTGACCGCCTGCCATCTCCAAAAATCCTGACGATTGACGGAGTCGAAAGCAGCTTTCAGAAAAAAGAACCAANGTTTAACTCCAGGGTTGTTCAGCATCAGGGGCCATACAGTGTGAAACAGCGGCGAGCACCGCATCCAATCCTAGCAGTACAGGAAACCTGGTAACCTGTATAAGGTTACAAATTACGTCCGCAGTTGGCAGTTGCGTTTTGCATCTAAACGAAGCATTCAAGAAAGGTGTGTCTCTGGTGAACCACAGATTGCATGGAGCGCAATGGACGAATACGACTAGCTGCTAATGTTTGATTTATTTGATTAGCTACTTAAATACCGTAAATAGTCTGGAACTGATGTATGATTTACTTTGGCGATTTAGCTCGCGATAACTCATGTTATGTTTCGTCGCCAGTGGCAGTCTTTGAAACTACGTCTCAAAAGGTGGTCTTTTCGGCATCGGGGAGTGCACTTTTGTGCAATTTGACAAGTTCACGTGAGCGTGACTACAAAGTGATCGCAATGCATTAGAAACATCCAGACCCTGGTTCATCGGAGAACAATTTTTATACACAACATTTACTTGCATTCAAAAGTTCAACACAATAATATCAGTTTGCTCGCCAAAATAACAAAATGTGCACAAATCGGCACCACGGGGGCCTACTGAGTTACGGTGGTAAATATTCGAAAGTGGAGCTTTAATTCGCATCAAAACAAGGTTGAATTCGGTGGACACATGAATTGAATTTGATATCTAGCGAATGCTCGGGAATTTTTAGAAATCCGGGAGTCGACCTAAGCACTTTGTCACCATGTCAACAAAGCACTATGTCATTTGCACGAAGGCGCTCATCTAATCGATCAGGTCTCCCAAGTTGAAGCAGGATACTGCATTGCCACAAAAATGCCGTCTAGTGGAATCATTACCACAGCTTTTCATTGAGTGTGGATAGCTGCACAGTAAACCGGTAATCACAAGCAGTCTATACTATGAGTAGGGTGGCCAGGTTCTTATTGAAAATCGGAGCCAAATTATCTTGTTGATCTGGACCAGGGATAGAAGAACCTGAGGCGATTTACTGGCGCTTCCGTGGTGATTTAGGGAGGGTGTACTTTTGACCTGCGAGTCAGGTTCTGTTGAAGCATGTGCACCCGAAAGGGTGGCACTCATACGAGTGGTTATCATTTGGCTGGACAATATGCTTGTGCAGGCAGTGGTTCGCTCTGTCAGGTGTTGTATTTTTTTCAAGGTCTGAGAGGAAGATTGCGGTTTTTCAAGCTTACCTGAAGTCTGTCACGGTGGCGGAATTTCGACCGTCCCCGAATGCGTTCCTCAGTTTTCAGTTGGCTGTAAGCCAGCTCTGTCAGAGTTGTTTCAGCACATTCGTTTTGCGTGACCTCTACAGCACAATTGTTCGCATATCTGTATGCACTCGAATCTGTAGATTTTGGCTCTGGAGAAATTTAGTGTTCAGAACCCGATCTAATCAATGCACCCGGTGTTTTACACAGGCCGTGTGCTCTGCCGTCACTATGGAGTCCGTGCTTCAGTACACAGTAATGTAGGTAGTACGATAACTCGGTGCACTGTTGTTAGGCAGGAATCCACGCGGATCCCACTACACCGCACGTCTTTAGGCGCTGCTACGGCCGAGAAGCCTAGCCCGCTCGAGGTTGGCCCAAAATTCGGGACGCTTGCCGGTCCGGCATCAAGACGAGATCTGATTGGTCAACAATCTGGACCCAACAGCCAATCATGACCCAGTATTGGCCAAATGCCGGTTGCCAATGGAGCTCCAGAACGCGTCAGAAATTCCAGAAAGTTATAGCCGCTTACGCTATATATACGAAGCGCTGTACAACTGTTCCTGATTTCGTTTTGGGCGTTAATAGACCTTTGTGCACCTTTGGTGTTTGTTTTGACGTGAACGCTAGCTTGGAAGGCTCAGACCGAGAACTAAGCTGAGGAAAATACAGTTACAACAACTGTGGCCTTGGTGCCGACACGTAGGTTGCGATTGCTCCGAGCGTCCCTATGGGGGTGACTGAGTAGAGCGCTTGCTGGGTACATAGTTCACTGTCGTTTGTGAACAGAGTGCAAACATGAGTCTCTTAGCAACACTTCAATCCGCACACGGCGTCTGTGAGCGAATGCCGGGGAGCATTTCGAGGCAGATAGAGAAGTTTCAAGCAGCACATCGATAACGCGGTTGAAGTGTAATGGTGAGTGAAGCCAGTGTTACGCTACTGAACGTGGTGAATTCAGACGAAAGCTTATCCGCATGCATCTACAGGGGTTCTTATTTGCCCTTGTAATGGATGTAAATTTTGGAGGGACACCTTTGACCGCCTGCCATCTCCAAAAATCCTGACGATTGACGGAGTCGAAAGCAGCTTTCAGAAAAAAGAACCAACCGTGGACGTTTGGAAGGGTGGCGCAATCGATGCATTCTCTTCTAGGGCAAAAACCAATTTGATATTCGCGCATCTATTTCTCCCGGCAATCATTGACAATGCAAAATGATACTGAATAGCACCTTGGAAATTACGGCTAACAGACTGATGCCACGGCGGCTTTCGAATGACGTCATTGCGCCGTTTCGCAGACTTGGATCAGGGTGAGGCTCCCCATTTTATTGGTGTTCTTTGTTTGTTCCATTCCATCCGTAGAGTGATCACCATGGACTCACTGTCCTCTCTGAAAAGTGGAGTTCAGACCATCCGGACCGGGTGCTTGTTCGCTTTGAAGGGATAATGTCTCTGGATTTTTGTTGATGGCGGGCTAGTGGGAATGTTTGATTCAGGCTCATTGGGTCTGTGATTGATGATATATTTTTTTTCGGCATTATTATGATTTGCTGACCTCGACAGTATCCCGTGTTGACTTGGTTGGGTCGGATTGCTTGCCTGTAAAATCCTCCAGTAAGGTTCCAATAAATTTCCAGTGAGGTCATGTCGAAATGGTTGATATGCTGAAACTCGCGGAAGTTGATGTTGTTGATGTGTTGGTCGTGAAGTGAGGACAACTAACGTATAACGACCGCCTTGCTATTCCTTCTGTGCTGCAGGGAAGGCTTTCGACGACAGTCTATTTCTATCACCTTTTCGTTCCCATGTGCTTGTTTTCTTTTTCCCTCAATGGTAGACGACAGCATGATTTAGGTGGTCTTGGTCTAACGAAGAGACTGATGCCAATTCACTTCTGTTATAGCTATCTGCTAGTTGTGTGGGACAACCTCTTTCTGTCGAAACGGTTCTCAATCTATCATTACCGGGTGTGCTGGATCCTGATAGCCAAGACGTCCGTCGTTTGCCTCACAACAGTCCTGCAATTTATGATGGACAGACCACCCCTCGTTTCGAACCGCAGTCGTTAGCCGGACTTCGTACACTGTACAGTCTGATTCATGGCCTAAAGTTGCAACTGGATGAAGTTCGTTTCACTCAGGTTAGTGCTGCGTCCTTCTCTTATTAAATGAAATCATGGTACCACCGGGTAGTGAGGCCTACGCAATCAGCGTAGACTGTACTAAAGTGTGAGCCTTAGTGTCAAGGATGAAATATCTGTATTTTTGACGTATTCAGTGCTTATACTTCATGAAAGTTCGATAAACCTGAGCCCCACGCCTGAAAGGGCCAAACTCATACGTCTTTTGGAGATATTCAACTATTTACTTGCGTTATCTTTCCGGGCCATCACCGCCTCTTAACTCAAAGAAGAAAACTATCTGCCAGCTTCTCCACCCTTATAATGAGTAATTGAAGGGTCAAGGTTGAGTTGGAACTAATTGTCTCTCAGCTGACCGGTCGTGCGTTATCCAGTGGATTCCCTTGAGTTCAGTTAAATCATGATGATGGTGGTGACGATGACAGTATAATCTCGGGTGTTTTGACAAGGTTCACAGCCATTTGCAGTCTTAGTGACCGTTTTTTGCATGTTCATTGCCACACCCCTCTTACGTAGTTAGATTTCAACCTTTTCCGATTGGTTTATGCGGAATACCAGCAAAACGGCTTGTAGACGACTATGTATAGCTACATCCCTTTTAGAAAACGATTTTTCTTTTACGTCACACAGTTTCGGTTGTACACTGATTATCTGTCCGACTTTTGTGCAAAAGTGGCACGCTTCTATGTAACAGGGTATTCCACTTGACCTCAGATCTCAGAGTTGCCGGATGTGGCTCATGACGCAGTTTGATAGCCTAACGGATACAGCTTGCTTTCAGTCATCATAGAAAGTACTCAGATGTATTTTCTGTCAAAACTTGGAGCGTCTTTTATCGGAAAATGATTTCATCTCTTTCTCCGGTGGTTGTTTTCGGGATGAGCTATTCCTTTACAGGGAAGGACCCCTGGCTCTTACTAACTGAGGCAATTTTCAAAGTAACTGTAAGTTGAAGTGAAAACTAAGTTTGCTAGATATCCTTATGAGCTTTAAGAAGGTTGAAAGGGATATGGGATTCTCCTTAGTTTTCCCACAGACTTTATTTGTAACAATTCTACTTACCTTGTTTCCAACACACAGCACTCGTTTGTTGAAATGGTCAACCGAAGTTTATCAGCAGTTGTTCTGGACAATTCCACCAACTCATTTCCCGAAAATATGACGGAGCCACGCAAGAACGTCGGGATCGGGACATCCTTTCTCTTCCCTTCTGACTGTCAGAAGGGTAACTCATCAGTGCAGATATCTAAAGCTGATGCGACCTACGGTGGAAACGAGACAATTTTGGAGAACTTACAACGCAGCTTCCTCATTCGACCCGATTCAGATGTGGATCTGGATAAATCCTCGACGTCTGTAAGCAACGTGAACAAAACGCTTGGAGAGTTACGGGCCTATCCTCGGTCACCTGGACGCCCGTTCTGTCCACCCCACCCAGTGAACCAGCCGAACGCTAACGCGCCTCGTATCGCTTCGATACTGAAGTCGAAGAATCCTCTAGCTCGTGTGAAAGCCACATATCAGGCGGCTTCTGTCAGCTGGTGCGACGATGCTCCCACACAGCCAGCAATGGAGATCCCACATCCACTGAGCATTAGCTTCAATGTGGACGACCGCTCCAATTCATCACGTCCCTCTTCACGAATAAGTTTGGAGCAGTCAGTTGTCGGCGATTTATCGCTTGTCGAGTGGCAGAACAAAGAATTGTTCGAACGCCTAGCCCGCGCGGTATGTTGCTTTGGATGTTTTTTTTTTTGCGAATTATAGGCTTAACTTTCGAATGACACTAAGTGTGCAGTTTTGCGTGTGTCATGCATATTGGGGTATCTTCATGTAATCGGTGAATAGTTTCTGAATGGAGCTAAGTTTACTTAATGGGCGCTACGCCTTGTGGAATTTTGTTATTCGGCCAAGATCCAATACCGTTGCGGTTGCCTAATTTCGGGCGATTATGTCTCCATTTGCACTTCCGCCATGAGTACTTGTCCTACCAAATCTAATGTTGATTACTACGTTCTTGTCTCACTACAGACTGCAAAATTGCGCGATGCACTGGATGAATGTGTTGAGGCCAGTTCGCAGTTGTGGGCTGGTGAAACGGAAAACTCGTTGGCCAAGTTGTTCCACAACACCTTGGAACTCTCACATCAGGATGAGGACCATGGGGACAACAAAACACCGGAGCGTTCCAAAGCCGCCGATTGGAACACCAGCGGTTTGGCTCCCAATCAAAGTGTGCAGTTCGATGGGCTGCATCCGCAGTTAGATTCGGCCCGCATGAGCAATGATGTTAGTTTCAGTCAGCTATTTGGTCCCGCGTGGTCTGCCGCACCGGATTCATCGTAAGCTGTTTCTCATACCAGATTACGTTGGGATTTTCGGTGTGTAAACTGACCACACCTTCGGTCGTTCACAGGTTGATTCTTACATTTCTGTCGATTATGGTTAGGATCCACGTGTGTATTAGGTGCAGTTCGGATGTAGAGTAACTCCAACTTTCCCGTGTTGCTGGCACATTCTGCGTGGTTTTGTAACATGTCGTTATGATAAAGGAAGGAAAGGGAACATGCGCTGTGGTCACGGTTTACTGACCCTATCCCATGCTTTCGCCTTCAAGCTTGGTTCTGTATTACACTTTGCATGGCAGCTAGGCACCGCAAAGGTGTTACAGCTGTACGATCCAAGGCGTGGCTGTATGTCCCACACTGTCCCACTTTCCGGTGATCGAAACTGTAGCAGCTGGAACCAATGTGCTTATGGTACACGGTTTATAGCTGATAAATTAAAATTGAAAAAAAATTGACTGACCATATTCTGCGGTTAGGCCTAGTGCTGCTTGGAATTGACAAGTGGGGCGCCGACCCCGAGGCAGCGCCATCGTTGAGGGTCACATTTTAAAAGAGTCTAGGGGAACGTACCCACATATTGTACTGCTAGTTTCTTCACGACTAAAGCTAACCTCTTAGTTGAATGACATCGCGCCTTATCTACTGAGGCCATATACCCGCTTTGTTTTTTTCACTCTCAACACTGTCCACCTACCATTTTGGTGTTTCAGATTCTCAGAGAAAACTGACCAAAAAGTTTCTGGTGAGTAGTCCCTCTCTATGAACCCTGGTGATGTATCAGTTAGACATGCTTGCTTTGCATTTTTACCCTTCTCCAATTCTGGTCGTACTGAGTCTTGGTTTCGCGATCATGTGATATTTCATGTTTCATGATCCAGTGACCCCTAAAGAGGGTGCATTGCGGAGGCCATAAACGGACAGAGTGGTATGTGATAAGGTTTTGTGTGCGAGTGCGGCATGTATTTGGAAATTAACGCTGTCGCGGAAGAGAGCACCACCTCCAAACTTATAGAGCTTTGTGTGGCTTGCCACCTCAAAGCTTCTGCCACATTCGTATCTTGAACAGTAACACAAACTGCGTTCGTAATGTATTCTCTCTCACTGTATCCATTCTGTTTACACAACTCAAAGTTTTGATAGCTGCAAGTTCACTCGCCTGCAGTTGTCCGTTTATTCCTTGCCTTCCCTTTTCCGTTTAAAGGATGGGTTCACGCTTGGATATATTCACCCCTTTTCAGTTCCGTCACTATCCTTCCATGCTATTTGTACATAAGGCTTCGAGTTTATGCAACCAAAATGCATTATTTACAGAGCTTTCTTGCCAAACCGAGGTCCTCTTTGAATTGTTTTCGATCCGAAGTTGCCCTCGTCCTCGGAACCCCGGCTCCGATGGTTGTAAGGCGCTTCTGCTTGTCTTCCTACGTTGACGATGCACTCGCGGCCTGGAAGATACAAGCGTACACCCTCTCCCTAGTCGTGTATGTCCTTCCTCCAGGGAGAGGTACTGGAAGTTGTGCACGTCCTTCTCAACCGAACGATTCTCAGCCCATCCAGTCCAGTTTTCATCAGCCACTTGCTGCTCCACCTACTGTGGTATATCAAAAGGCACGATAGCTTGAAACAGCCATTAATGATTACACATGAAGAATACTTGTAGAGTGGTCACATAATTTCTTGAAAGGTGAACTGGGGTTGGACAAGACGCGTGGAGCTAAAAATGCTTGGTTCTGATTGTCATGGTAGTCTGTCTGCTGCACATCCGTCCAGTCAGCCTGATGCTCGGTCATTTCTAGTTCGGTGGGGTTCTGTGCTATTTCCCTTCCGTTCCCCTCTTTTCGTCCGTAAGTTTGCTATCGTCTATTTCTGGTTGCATCTATGTCTCCTCGAACGTTGCTGCCCTCCACTTATTCCTCCCAGAGGTCCGTATTGCTTCAAAGTTGCGACGATGACGTCACGTTTTCAATTGTCTCCTCTGAGTGATTTATCTTCCGTACAGCCGTGTTACGCAATTATTGGTCTATTCACTGTATGATTTATCGTTTTTGAAGTTTTTCATGTCAGAGTAGTGGAGACTCGGGTTTCCCCCAGAAGTTCGGTGTCTTTGCTGATTGGAAATTTTCTTCCATCTATAATCCTTCATGAGACGACGCTCAGTGTGCTCCACTTTCAGAATTATTCGCTAGTTCAACGCGCGTTTTCGAGATGTTCTGGATCATAGACACTCCCTTTTTGTGTAATACACTTAGTTATTTAGTGGAGAAATACTGCGACTATTTAGTGTGCAAATTGCTTAATCTTTGTAAACCACGGCGGTGTGTAAACTGTTGCCGTATTTTGTTCCTTTTTTAGCCGATACGCAAACTGTGACGTCGAAACCCTGCACTACGTCTGCGACGGTGACTAGCACCACTACCACCGCACAGGCTTTCACCGACCCCACTGATGTTGTCACGCTCCATCGTTACGTGGCTTTGCTAACACACGCTTTGTCTGTGTTGCGCCGAACCATTTCGGATTCCATGCAATGTCACGCGACCTCATGCTCCGAAGCTCCTAATCCTGATGTTGACCCGCATTGGCTGGTCTCGTGGGTCCAGTCAGCCACTCACTGGTTCCATTCCTATATGGACAACGAAACGGTATCGGATCGTTCCAAGGGCACCGTTGACTCCGTGGCAGCCACCGACAAAGATGACGTGTAAGTCACTTGTCACACCTGGCAACCTGTTGTATTCCAAATTACCACAGAACTTCCGATATACTGCCTTACTACCTTTGCTCCCCCACCCCACTCGACTGTTTTCTAACCTGCTTCTGTTTTCTGCGTAGTGAATCTTTGCTGGAATGCCTGGAGCGTGTTTTCAACGACCGAATTGACGACTGGGTCCGGGATACGAAGCAGCACTTTGCTGAGCTGGCCGCAGCCCAAAAGAAGAACGAGGAATTACTAATTACCGTAAGCCGGCTGGAAAGTGAAGTGGTACAGCTGTCTGAGGAAAAGAAGCTCGCTAAGGTAGGGTTCGAGTTCTACCAACCTCCTGCTGTGTGCTTGGGATATGCTTGGCTTTACTTGTTCTGCCGCATGGGGACAGTCGTTCTTATAGATTTTTCTTGGACCTGTAGGCTGCTTAGTTTGATACTTTGTGTCGTTATTACCCAACACTGGTGTGTCCTTGAAAAATGCGGATTTGAACTCTCCTGAGGAGATCCCCTATCCTCGGGGAGTAGTGTACCAGATCATGGCTGACAAAAATACTGGGGTCATCATCAGTTGGTGCAGTGTTTATAGCTGATGATCTTGGAATACAGTTATGCATTGGTATTGATAGTTGATGTAATTAAAGCGTGAATCCGGGAGGAGCAGTATACTATCCATCAGGAGTTGCCATGGAACGCTATGCATTTTATCAACAGCTTGGATGCTTGTCATCAGACTGCTCGAATGGACCGCATCTATCAATGTCTCGAGGTCCGAGTGTACCTCTTCTTTGGGTCCCCATCCATAGTGACAATGGTCGATGCAGCTGGGTTTACTAGTACTGGCTTCTATAATTCGCTGTCATTCCTTGACCCCCATACTCGTCCCCCCAACTCCTCGTGGTTACGGAGAAAAGGCTCTTCGAGGGAGTTGCTCTACTGGCATACGAAGCGCGTGATCGAACCAGCACAATCTATCGATGGCGAGTTATCCCGAAAACCGCCTGATCTACTTCAGCTATGAACCTTTCAGGGAGTTAGTCCCCTTTCTAGTGATCTTTCTTTGGGGTCTGTATTGTTTTACCCTAGCAGGCACCTGTTACCCCTACGGAAATCATATAGACATCTTCTTTTTCCTTTCGTCAGAACAACTGTGAAGATCTTTGTCGACAACTGGCTAGTCTCCCAATCGAGCAGGACCCTAATCTTCGTGCTGCTCCTGACTTCCCACAGTACTCAGCGGACAGAGGTGATCAACAGTCCGTTTTTGGTCGATTAGGCCGGATATTCAATGTCGGTCAGTCCAAACTTGCCTCGACCGTAGCCAGTCCCAAGAGTGATGTGGTCGAAGGTTCATGCCGTGGATCGGCTGTGTGGAATGCTGCTCTGGAAAAGGAACGTGATACAGTGTTGCATCTTCTCCAGTCCCATGGATTCGTTGTTGAATCATCTGGTTCACTGTCTTGCTGTGTGGAATCGATTCTGACCGATCTGAAGGAAACACACAATCAATGCTCCCAGTTGTCCAAGAAATTGACAGATTTTGTTCCACGATCGGACTATGACCAAGTTAATGATGCTGTACAAGGCCTCCGTAACAGACTTGATCAAATAGAGCAACAACGGGCCTACATTAAGCAGCGTATAGGATTGCTGAATTTCGAAGTTGATCCCAATGATTTTACCGACTGTGTGGATCTACTCCTGTCCGAATTGTCTTCGTTGCGCGGTAGTTATCAGCAGTTAACCAGGGAGAATTCGCATCTGCGCAACAAACTAGATAGCTCTGTGTCTAAGAAAGACTATGTGGAGTGTCAGAATCGAGTTGATGAGCTACTGGAAGAACTAAAGCAACTCCAAAATGATGCTGAAGTTGATTGCCGTATGGCTGAACGTGCTCTATCCATACTAGCACCTTTGGCACCTGCCCCAGTAGAACCTTGCCTCCCCGATCTAGTTGAATGGATTGTGCATGAGCTGACAGAACAACGGTCTACTGCGGACCAACTTCGGCGTGATCAAAACCAAGCGGTTTCACGGGTCTGCGCCTTGTGTGAAACAGATTCGCCCATGACCTTTTCCGAGTGTCTCGACTTGCTGCATCGGAAGTGGATTGAAACACAGGCCGATCTCAATGCTCTGATGACTGAGCGGGAACGAGTTTTTCTTGTGTTGAAAGACATCCAGCCGGATTACGATGCACATAGTTTGTTGGACTGCATAAATTCCTTGATATCCTCGTTGACACAAAAGCAAAATGATCTTGAAGCCATGCGCGAGTACTATGCGAAAAATTCTGTCCCTTTGACGGAACACGCAAAGCTGCAATCTGACTTGGAATTCGTATGTGACGAATTGGATCAGTGCAGAATCAGAGCTGACGAGCTTGAAGCCGAGCGGAACGAACTCTTACGTTCTTCAGTCCCACTAGAGGAACATCAGGAATTACACCAACAACTTTCTGATTTGGAGAAGCGTATGGTTGAAAATAAGCGTATATTTGACGCACAGCAACGTCAGATTCGTCATATTCTTTCAGATGCAGTTGTGGATCCCAAAGAGGACGACGTGGTTCGATGTGTCGAAGTTCTGTGTGAACAGCTCGCTGAACGGCGACAGCTGATTGCTTCACTGGAAGCCCGCTACAACACTGTTGTCACAGATTGTGAAAACTTGAGGCAACAAGTAGCGAAAGGTGTGGCCGAATTAGACAAGCGATCGGCACGTCTTGAGCAGGAATATGAAAACCAGCTGAGTACTACTCGTATGGAACTCGAAGGGAAACTCTCTCAGTGCCTTTTGGAAAACGAAAAATTCGTTAACGAACTGGAAGAAAACCGAGAAAAACTTCGGAATTTGAACAGCTTGCTTGAAGCTCGCCAAGCCGAATCTGATTGTCTCTTGGAACAACTAGCCGAAATGGAGGAGGAACTGCAATCAGTGCGGTCTTCTCTGAAGGCGAAAAGCGAAAGCGCCCAAGCTGCCGTCGAAGCAGCATTGGCTCATGAAGAGCGCGCTAATGCGTTGCAATCGCAGCTAGACTGTCTGCGAGCTGAACATGCTCACTGCATGATCCGCCCAGCCACTGTGAATACACAGACCTCACCTGTTGGTAAATCCAAGTCAACCGAGGAGGTCAATACGGAGTACGCCGTGCGAGCTCCACGACCAGACTTTACCGACACCATTGACCCACAAAGTGTGATACGCTCGCGGAAGTATGGTGAACTGAAGGCTGTGGCTTTTGAGATCAAGGAAAAGCTTGTACATCGAACCAAGTTAGTTTTAGATTCCTGGTATTTTCCCGTGTCCCATGTTTTTTATGTTTCAGTTTCACTCATTCGTGTTCTGCAAATTACACCTTTCACTGCAAGTAAAAGATACCAATCTGAGTACTTGAGAGAAGCCCACCTCTTGCGAATTTTATATATTTTCGTTTACTTATCTCAATTGAGTGCTTCTGTCGCCCGGTAATGAGTTGTGTACGGATTTGTGTCGGGTTGTTTCTATCCAAGAATGGCAGCCAGCACATCATTACCTCCTTTTCGTTCAAAGGTTGATTTACAGGGACCATCTGGTTTGCCTCTGTCTGGGTTGCATGTGGTAAATATCATAGAATTGTGGATACACGGCGCGAAAGACCAAGTGGTTAGTTGTTTGCAAAAGTTGATGCTTCAGATTGGCAGTCAATGGGTAGGCAAGTATACATTTCACAAATGTGTGGAGGTTCAGACAGTTGTGCTTAACTGTGAGGTCCAGGATTCGGTTCTCCGTTTACTTTCTGGTGTTGCTCAGGCTTGAACTAACCCGGTAGTAAGGGTACTTCTCTGCTGAGTTTATGGCTAAAAGTTGAATGCAAGGAAATGGGATTAGGGGGGTTTGAATGTAGATCCAAGCATATACTGCAAGGCAAAAGTTGACGTCTTGGAGGGTACAGGATCCAGCGTCCTCCCCCTTCCCGGGCGAGTTCTTTAGCAAGTGATCTCATTATGACACCGCCTTATATCGCACACATTTGTGTTAGCTCGGTTGGTCCAGCCGACGGTATCTCTCTGGCTTAAAGGGTCAGATTTGCAATGTACCATATTCCACCCAGGTAAATTTCGTTCACAACCCATCGTTTACGTTTACTGGATTGTACAATAAGTGTATAAACTAATCATGTCATCATCGACAGCATGACATCAGTGTACAACACTGCTTCGCGGCCGTACAACCATGGTTTGTTTGAAAGCCGTATTGTGAAGAAAATATTGATGGTGGACGAAAAAGTGACTTAGTGCTAGCTCACTACAATCATTCTAAGTACCTACACCTCCAGACGCGCATTCAGGCAATCTGGATGGAAATTGACAGCGAGAACGCCAGTGTCAGCCGAATCTTGCAACGTCTCCATCCATGCTCAGTGGGGATCACGCGGTCACCATCCTGGGAACAGGTAGCACCAACAGGATCTAAACGTTTCGTAATTTCATTCGTACCCCGGTCAACTTATCGCAAGTTTGCAAAGTTTATTGAGAACTACTTTTCGATAGGTTAATTCCTGCTCCTTTTTTCCGCTGTGTTCACAGCAAATTGGAATCGGCGCTAACTGAAGTGGCGCGCCTGCGTAGTGTGATACAACAGGATAAGGAGCACGCCAGTCGTGTACTGGAAGAAGTTGAAGATCTACGTAAACAAGTGAGTTGTGCGCTCCGTTTTATCCTTTGGAAAAAGAGAACTACCCCTTTAAAAAATCATTCGGCTGTAGCACACTTTCGGTACCTGGCTGCCATGCCAATGGAAGAAGGTACAAAGGCCCGGATACTGTGAGGTTGCCCAAGTCTAGACAGAAGTGGTCGAGATGCTAAGTTTAGGTTCGAGCCATGGACCTTCGGGTCCCCAAGCTGGCCCATTAACCACAGTTCGGTATAGCCCACGCTGTTCATTGTTATAGATTTTACCCCACTGGTTCCGTATGAATGGTGTGCGCGTGGATTTTGAGTTGATCCCTCAACTAAGATAAAAAAAGATGATCGTTCAGCGTAGGTTGATGTAACTTTCGAGCTGAGTTTTAGTCCAATTTGCAGGTTATTTGCAGTTTGTTTATCGAAAAGCTTCCAACCAAATCAATTTAACGTCCAGCTGCGTAGTCGGGTATTGTAGGCAGACAGACTGAGGATATATATTGTCGTTCAGCTGTAACATCCCTCGGTGCCTAGCTGCCATGCCACCAGAAGGAAGCATGAGGGTTGCCCGACCCTAGACTTGGGAAGTCGAGAGCGAGAGGTCGGGTTTGAATTACAGGCCTTCCAGTCAGTAAATTCGCGCTCTAACCACTGAGCCCTTCCGCCTCCTCAACTAGTGTACAACTAGTATCACGTAGTAGATGCATCACAAGCCACTTCACCTTATTTTACTTCACTGCTGCTTTCTGTCCACTTTTCGTTTCATTCAGGCTGTGCGCAAGAACAAAATGATCCGTGAGCTTGAGACCGAAGTGGCGCGGCTACGAGCATTGGTTTCGAATTCCGGTTGTCCACAACCTGTACTCAATGCTCCGGACACGCACTCATCTGCACGGTAGGTCGTTTATCTCTCCGTGTCTGTTTTAGTCGGTTCGGAGTGTCAATGTATCTGTTCGAACACTGGTCAACACTGCAGTGAATTTGCCGTGTTGTTTACCATTTGCTTGCAAGCACTATTTTGACCAGACATCTTGGAAGAGAACTATACTTTTACGAATTATGTCGTCGTATTTAGGTGTATCACGTAGGTTATAGGGTGGAAACAAAGAAATCGTAGCTATTCGGAAGATCTGTCTGGTAGCCTCTAAGGGGCCACGTGTGTCCACATCGGCGCTCCTTCCAGCCCCGGTCTTTTGTGACATCTATACTGTATTTATACTATCTAGCTATATCTAATCCGACACCTATACTCTGACGTGGATCTAACTGGTGTTCCCGTTTCACAGCACTCCTTCTCAACGGGAACAACCCCGTGGTGCCCATTGTCGGGTCGCCATGAATGGCAGTCTAACTTCATCTTTTCGTGCATCCTTACTCCAACATCCGGACACACCTTCCATAAACGACCCCGAGTTTGAACGCGATATATCGGTTGTAAATGCATCACTGACGACTTCGGCAATGAATTCCCCGGACCAGTTTCCAGAACGCGAAACCGTGCCGCCGGAACGTAGTTCCTCGCCACCGTGCAAGTGAGTGCATTTCAATGTCGTGTGTTACTGCTGATTGGTTTTTACGTCAGTGGTAGCTCAGATAATTAATCATTTAGAAATGACCAGTTAAACTTGCCATATTTCTTTTCTCCTTAAGACGTTGCGAACAACTTTGTCATGTGGCTGTCAACCTACAGCGGTTGAGTTCAGAACTTCAACGGCACGTGAACGTTGATTTGGACGAGGAGCTTTCGCTCCTAGACACACTGGAACGACAGACGGTTTCAACGCAAATAGTCACCTCACCGCTGCCTTCCCAGAAGTCCACACAACCTCGAGATGCGCGTTCCACCCAGGTTTCCATGGCAAGCGCACTAAGCTCTAGCGTGGACGAGTTAAAAGTGAACATTCAGGTGGGCCTGGAAAATATTCTTGTTTCCATGAGTTGAGTTGTATCATGGTTTCATCGATTCTTGAGTGCGATTATAAGAGTTCCTCAATGCCACTGCTTCTTTTTCTCAAGATCATCTTTTAATTTTTTCGAGTCAGCGTTTGTATTAACCATGATTACTGGCTCTTTCTAGGTGATTTTCTGTTTTATATTTTTTACGCGCCTATGAATGTGTATGACAGTGATCACTGTCTTCTCCCTTTGCCGAACTAGGGGAGGGCTGGGGATGTGATCTTCCGGCTAGATGGGTAGGGTTAGTTTTGCGATTTGGTTTTTAATCGTCCTGTCAGTGTACCACAGGGTTGCTGAGAACTCTTCATTACTTGCCCACAGTCGTTCCTCAGCATACTGACTAGACCAACGCCCTGTAGGACATGAAGCGTCCCTCTTCTAGCATTGCTAGGTTGCCGCTAAATTCAGTCCAGATTGTTATTCAATGCTGTTCTTGCTGGATTCCTCGCTCGCCGTCTGTGTTATTAAACTGCTGTCAGAGGATTCGCCAAAGAGAGTTTCTGGTACACTGCCGATCGGACAGCCCTTTTCTCTAATTCCAAAGACAAGGTTTGCTTTTTGGTGGAACTGTTTTATGGTCTTACTGGGAGATGTTGGGATGTCATTTAACGTCTACTGCCCTGAGACGTAAAACATGTATGTGTGCTAGGTGTTATCTACATCAGTGACATTTTCGTTCCGAATGTTTCCAACTATTTCGACCGCAAAATCTTCTGAGCGAGTTTAGTCAGAAAATGTTTGGTTTTCATTGTTTCATTCATACGACAACCCTTCACATGTACACTTTCGCCCGTCCATCTTTTCCGGATCTGAGTGTTTTCCCGCGATAGCTGAGAGGCAAAGTACTGTTAACAGCCTTGCATTGATACCTTAGATTGAACCTGTGCAGGTTTTGGAAACTTCGTTAACTAACTTTGTGCAGTGGCGTACCAATTCCGCCTCCGGGCTACTTGACATGTTCGAACCTTTTTCACTCTCTTTCAGTCTTTGCATCATGCGCGGTCGCGTTTGCAACATTACGCCGGGGAAGTGGATCGTATCTGCTCTGTTTTGGTGCGCCGCTCGCATGACACCGGTGGCGCCGCTTCGCCCCGAAATGTTTCCAACGCTGACTTGGGTAATTTCATCCTCTACTGTGCCGTTTGTTTTACGTCCCCCGTGGGCTCCATTTAGGTGATACAAAGATTGTTTCGTAGTGTAAAACCTCATCACGTTACCCAGAGTATTTCCCATGCCAAAAAGGTAATAACATAGTATCTTAAAAAGTACTGGTGTTAGCAGGAAGCGAAAAAAGTGTTCGGCGGACAACGCTCCCGAATTGTGTCTGGTTCAACCTTTATCTGACTTGGTCAGATTACATTACTCGTCTGCGTCAGTCGCACGGTACTGTAAGTGTCCTTTCTCAACGTCAATAATACGATCACAGTAATCTGTGAGCAGTGGACATACCACCCTGGATTTTGAACTTGACGGGGTGAACTAAGTGAACAACAGCGTTGGACTAAACTGGCGATATCCAAAATATTGCGTATTTCCATCCAACACACTATCTATCATTTGATTGCTGACCACTCTTCCAAACTGTTTCGGAACGACTGCGTTTGTGACGCACTTTTAGAGCATGGAGCAATTAACCCATTGTTTGCTGATCAGCTTCTGGGCGTGTGAGAGTGTATGGTGAACTCTCCGAAACCCTCCTTACTAAAAGTGGTATATGGCAAAGATGTCCAGTCTTTCCATTATTGTTCAACTTCGTCATCGATGCAGTAATGAGGCGGACGGCGAAAGGTCTTCAGAACCTCAGTGTTCAAACTGTTGCTGGTTAGAACCCTGTCGATCTGAAGTACTCGGATGACATCGCCCTCACCTTTGAATACCAAGGCAAAGCACAAGCTTGTTTGATAGACTGACTACCGTCATACCCTTTTTCCGCATGTTTCTAGCACCTTCAAAGTACATAGTCCTGCTTCGCAATGTGGGGTCTCTAAACGTATCCCTTACAATTTAAGGAGAATCACTAGAGGTTGTGGAGAATTCCACATACCTCGGTAGCTTTATTATGTGTAATGGAAATGTGACCGACAAAGTCAGCGAACGAGTCTCAAAAACTCGAATGACGTCTGCCAATTTGCTTCACTTGTCCTTTCCTGAACGGCGGTCAAGTTTTCTCGAGCTTTCCTCTTTTCCTCTCCTATTGGTTTACTTCGCCACTGCTTTCGTGCGCTCAGAAACCGTATGCTGCGCAAGCTCCCTGCTACGCTTCGGTTTCGAGATTTAGAGAACCCGGCATTTCCCATGGCGCGTTTCAGTTCAAAAATGATAAAGTCGTATCTATGCGGTGGGTAACTCTGATGAAGATAACTGGGTCCTAGAGGCAAGGTTTCTGCGTGAAAGCCACTGGGTTTGACCAGATGGATTTCATCTTGAGTCGGATAAACCAATGTCTCAATGCGCTGCTCCCCCCATTGTTCTCTGCGGCAGCTGAATCTGACGCATCGTTGAGGAATGTTTGCCGTTGCCTAAGAATACTGGAAGCCGCACGGCTTCTCGTGATCGGAGCGCCACGAGCATAAGCACTCTATTGCTCATGGCCGTCTCCATTCAGCTCACTACCTCTTGTGAGGCACTAGGTGATGTTCACTAGGATCTATTGCAACTCAATGTTGTCTTACTGTGTCGAGATTGCATTGATTGTGGAGTGCTCCTTCCGAAAGTGTGCGATGAAAATCTGAACTCTCGGAACATGGCAAGTGAGTGGGACCTGCTTGAGGCTTGATTGACCTCCGAACATTTTCAACCTCGTGTGACAACTTTGGTAGCTTTTTTCGTAGACAACTCGCCGTTTACTCCTCCAAATTTTCTACACTCGACATACAAAACTGGTGTTTTAAGAATTATTCTCGAAATTCTACCCTGCTAACTCACTTTTGTTGATCTCTTTCCACCCTTCAGGAATGGTCACTGGTATGATCGCTCGAAGCTTCGATTCACTGTCTCGCATACGCCGTCGCTTGAAAAGTTTCTTCCGTGAAATGAATGTTAGTCATTTTCTGCTGTGTACACGGAATTCTTTCCGTTTCCTTTGATGTTGTCTCTTTGTGACATCTTCTGGTAACCAACATATGCTTCTACATTCTCATTATATGACTAGGAAGGTTCGTTGACTCGATGGTGAATGCATGACCCACCGATAGAAAAGCTTCACTCGTTTTGCTGTTTGGGAGTCATTTTGCGTCGTCATTTTAATGCAATGCTACTCACTCAGGCGAAATGATGAATTCTCTGGTTTGTGGTTACGCTCAACAGTTCATATGAGAGCACTCTTGCTTACCGTTCAGCGAAAGTGTAATGGTCACCTTTCTTGGTTAACCGAATAACCGCACTTCACTCCTACATTTGTGTGCAGCTCTCCGACAATGCGACTGGGACGAAAATCCTTGCCGACTTGCGGGCGGTTATTCACGATCTAAGGACTAATGACTCAAGTCTGGCAAGCGTAAGCATATCCTCGGATCATCTCGGCGGAAAGGAAAATGTAGCACCGCAGATCCTACGACCGGATTCCCTTTCCAACCAAGCTCAAATATACCGCCGTCAGTTTCGTGAGCTCGCACGCGGTCTAGATTCGATGGCCAAAGACCGTAAGTCAGGTGTCTGAATGGCTGTAACGCGCCTTTTTTGTTCTGAAATAGATGATCAAAGTTTTCGGTGCAGCGTGATTGTATTTCGATGTTAACTGCTAATTTCCGGGAACTGAGCTTGAGCTCTTAACTGAAATGATCATCGAGCCGTGTGCCTTGAACAAACGTTCAATTAAGAATAGCATGTGTTCGAAGACTTCCTGCTCGAAGTAGCCGAATATCAGTCTGACTGAACAGGTGCCTCCCGAATCAACTGCGGAAGCATGTCCTGGTTAGCTGGAATATGGGCCATTCCTAATTAGGCATTCCCAGCTTGGTGTTCCTAGTCACATCTGAAAGACTCTAGTTCAATATTGTGATTATTTGATTGATGCCGGTGTACTGAGAACAGCTGCCTGAGTGGGTGGAACGGCAACTGGACTCTAATGATTGTCCTTAACGCGCTTTGTTCATTTCATTTCTTGCTTCACTTGTGACAGCCGGTTGTCGTCCTGGATGGGCGTGAACTGTTTCCTTAGCCTGTTGAACTGTGCTGAACAATGTTCATAGCCTCTCACAGTATGTTGACCACAGTACCCCCTTGGATACAGCATCTCGGTCATCCAGGTTCGAGGTTGCGTCATAAGGTATGCATCAGCAACGTTAATTTGGGAATGTAGGGCATCGGCTGCCGTGGAACCACATTTGGATGTTTTAAGTGGAACCCCGTTGTGAGATGAAGAGACGAAGAGAGTGAGAGACGAAGCTGGCTGAGGGTGCTGCCAAGGTATGCATCAGCAACGTTAATTTGGGAATGTAGGGCATCGGCTGCCGTGGAACCACATTTGGATGTTTTAAGTGGAACCCCGTTGTGAGATGAAGAGACGAAGAGAGTGAGAGACGAAGCTGGCTGACGGTTGCTGCCACAAATATTGGATGTCCACTGAAGTCTTCGCGTCTCTGTCTTGAATACAATTTTCCTATCTTTGATACCTGATTTATGGAATTGAAGGATGTGGAACACTAATATATTGTCTGGACTCGGTCAGCTTGCATAGAACGATCGCCAACATCCCACCAGGGTGGTTTCCGCTTCTCTGTTGATGGTGGGAAGCTCTTGCACCGTAGTGACTTCCTCAGAAACTCATTTTCTAACCATTTTTCATAAAATGAGTACCTTCTTTCGTAATTGTAGACTTTGTTTCTTCCGACACGTTCAGCACAAACGGGTGTAAACCCTAATGTATGGCGAATTGGTCTCCTTAGGTTTGAGAGATACTTCCACGGGTGGACTTCAGGGCACGAGTGGCACGTTGTATATTTCCGAAGTGGAACACGCAACTTCAGGATAATTTATCTCCTTATGGGCTTTACCCCGTCTGTTTACTCGTTTACTGTAACCAGGTGCCATATTCGTTTTCTGTTTTTTGTTTCAGTCACCCAAACAACGAATGTTTTGAGGGCCACTAGAACGAATTTGGAACGCACTACTACCGGTTTGTCAGTCCCGGATGTGTCACCGATTCCTGTCATGAAACGTCCCTCATCCAGAACAACGTAATCCCGATGTGACTTGATTTTACGACCTACTTTCTCCAACTTTAAACTTATGATAGTATCTTGTTGTCATGACCCTTTTACCGATGTTCTCATACACCATCCTTATGTTATCTCTTGTTTGCAACACATCTTTCCGCAAGGTTGGGTTGCGTTTGTGGAGATCGCCATAAATTTCAACCCAGTTGTCAGGGCTGCGGTTTGGATTGTCCGAAGAATATTTATCCGCTGGAATAAAAATACCAGTCTCATCAATATATTTCGCCCGCATACTGACCTATCCGAATGGTTTAACCGAGTTCGCAGTGTACACATGATTAAGGCTGGGTTGTGTTCTTACTCGATCTTCGTTCAGCGATCATGTAGCAGCCGAAGACTTCGGCCAGTGGCGATTCAGCCCTGGTTTGATAGGTACCTGTTTGGTTCCAATCATGTCCAACCTGGAACTTTTTGAGTTCAGTGTCTGTGTAGTGTCTTATGTAGATGACAGCGCGTTAATCTCACTTTAGGAGGATAGAATGTTCCGGAAGTATCTTGCTTGTTTCATTAGTAGATTATGTCAACTGATCGGCTGTTTCGGGTTCTTCGTTCCTTGGTTTCGAAGACCTACAAAAATAGGAAAAATGTTGAAAGTTTGCCTTGCACGTTGGAAGGTCAAATCTCATGTCAAAACATGTAAGCTGTCGATGTATAGTCCAGATTACCACCAGCCAAACGAAACAATATCATCTGTGGCAATCGCAGACGTCACCCCTCTTCCAAAGTTGATTTCTCCAATCTGTGGATGGTAAATTTTTTAGACCTGAAAATTGCGGGGAACAACTCTAACTAACTAGTGGTTTCCGGGAAACTGTTACTTGCTGCGGTTAGGTTTATGAGATCAAGGAGCAGGAAAATCGCTTAGAATTCAAAGATATGTGTGGAATAAGTAAAATATCCGGAGTCAGATTTCTATTTAAACATGCAAAAGCTACTTGATTGTCGATTCAAATAGAACTTCGGTTGATCGATGAAGTTGTAACCACAATCGTGTAGTAGTAAACCTTCGCGTTAGCGGATAAGCGTTTAAATTTATGGAGTCTGAGGTTCATAAGTGTAACGTGGTTAGAACGGGGTAGTTTTGCAAACAAGATTTCCCGGAGTAAATGTATTTTTTCGGAACGCACAAACCTACCCTAATTATTCTAGCGGGATCCACTGGAACCTAATGATCCAAATAAAGCTGCTTGCAAACAAAAACAGGTATCGAAAATAGAAAGGTATTCTAAACGTGACATTTTAAGTTGAAGCGAATTCGCTTGAGCGGGTTTTAAAATCTCTGGGATAAACACTCCGGTCTTATTTCATGGAGATGAACCACAGATAAGTTGCGAAATAAGGCGTGAACCCCGATGAAAGGAATAATTGGTCACACAATGGGTCTCAAATCAATGGGATTTGTATTGTTCGTGGAATACCCGACTGCAGTAGTTGAATAAATCCGCGTGAACTCGGCACGCTTGGCAATCATTAGGTACCTTTGTCTTTGTGCATGACTCAACCCGTGTGATTTTAAAATATGCCGGAAAATTCACGATGATTTGGCTCGATGGCTGTGCACATCACGCAGAGAATGGATGACTCGTACAGCAACCAATTTGAAGGTTTGAATGCAGTTATCCTTAGCTTTCGGAATCCTTACATAACAGGACACAGGTGCGTAACTTGAGCACTTTTCGCAAGCACGGTTGATGAGGTTCGTAAGCCTCGCAGATCTGCACTAGGATCACATATTTGCACTGGTGTAGTGTGCTTTTGCGTAATATGTGACTGGAAGAGACGGATATCGCTTAGCATAGGCATGACTTGTTCTAGTGTCACCATGTTAGTGAGAATGTCATCCATAACTACTGCGGTTAAACGGACTCCGAGACTGAACCAAGCGTTGTTGTGTTATCGGTAGAACACTGACGGTTGTATCAGGTTCATACTCGTTTGTAATCAAGGCATATTAAGACTTTTCCGCACACAGAGGCACTGAATAGACGCTAATTCCAAAACGTTATCAGGCTCCGGGCATTCCCATAGGTACGTTTCATCTTCACAATGCTTGCTGGTAAAATGCACGTCCGGGATGAATAAACCTCACCAACTTAATAGCAAATTTTGTTGGTAATTTACGAGATGCCAGGCAGTTTAGCGACGGCATATTACAGACGCATGCAACAGCTTTGAAAACAAAGATAAAGAAGTGTGAATTCACCGAAAAATTCTGCAAACTTCCACTTTGTAAATATTAGAATGAATACAACGTGATACTTTTGGACGGATAGTCGAAATCAATGCATGCTAGTTGGTGGATACCAACCACCGTTTACAACAACGCGACCAACGTTTATCCAAGGTTATTTACAATATTCTCTTGCAGAGACTGAATTTCATGTCGCAGTAGTCTGTTGAAATGACTGGAGACCTACCGACTTTTGTACGCAACAAAACAGTGAAAATCGAAGGAAAACGGCAGGACCTATAGCAGTGTTATCAACGTCTAACAGTTTTGCTGAAATTATTTCCAAACCATTCATTTCTAGGAAGTTTCACATAAACTACACGCAACGATAACATTGTGGTGATTAAATTTCGTGCAAAACAATGAAATGGCAAACCAAATGCATGAGTAGTCAGGTCACTGGTAGTTAGCAGTTTTTGTGTTTCAAGCAGTTACAGAATTTCAGTCACGAACGTCTGAGTTTATCGTGTTTAGTTTGTTAGATTATAGGCCTCTAATGATGCGTTCAAACGGACGAGAATTCTCCGTACTTTGTTCCACGAGTATTATGGCGGTTACCTGATATAAAACTACTTTCTCCGAAAAAAGCAGACTCTAAATAGTGGATGAGTTAACATGTGCCTGATGACACTAAAGATTGCAGGAATATCTGAGGAACATTTCGTTTAACTCTGCTAATTCAACTTGTATTTCGAACCATTGTTGGCGACCAAACCCTACCTGCATTTTCTGTTTAGCAGTGTCTGCGGAAATCAATAACCATGCGCATGATACAGTTGTTAGGATAGACATACCGATACAAAAGTCACTAAATTTAGCAACCAAAATTATTCTGACTATTTACGCAAGGCTTAGCGGCAAGCAGCGAATACGTACTCCAAACCTGAACTGACCTATCTTGCCACAAGCAGAAACTCGGCGATAAATATCGAACGAAATATACTAGTTTTCACTTGGGTTCATGGAGGTAAACCACTGTTCAAAGTAAGTTTATCTACTTATCATATGATCGCTTGTCCGTGGCGTAGCAAATGACACCTTTTACTTATTCACTGTTAACCGGTGTATGTACATATATGCATAAACAATATATATAAGCGCGCGTGGGATAAACCACCACATTTCCAGGTGAAACTATTTTAATATTGCTCATCAATAATAAAACTCCTGCGAAAAGGATCGGTAACTTGCTTAATGAGGACGTGCGTATGATTTTAATTAAACCTATCCACGCTATTTGTATTACGCTGCGCACAGTGTAAAGATCACGCATACCCACTCAGCTGAACTTGTCTTACAGTTTCCACTTCCTCCAGAATTATAGGCGCAGTGCTCATAACGACGTTTTTCTTCAATCTGCCTGCGAAAATGACCCCTTCGTATGGTAGTATCTACGAGCTGCTTCATACAATATACTGCCACATAATAGCTAGGCTTACCTTCCAGTAAACCAGCGAGCTCTTTGCAATTATTATGAAAAACAGAGTACCCGTGCAAAAATATGACTAGAACTGTGTGCTTAAATTGGTTGTTTTAGCGTACTCTCTATTTTCGCCACCACAATTTACTCTGGTTAATCCATAGCATGTAGAATCCCGACAGAGCATACATGTGAGATGCGATAACGTTTTGTCAGCTAAGATCGAATGGCCTGATGACATACCAGACATGCAACTCGGCATTTGTAGCGCAACCTTTGTTCGAAGTCCCGAGAACCAGATTGCGGTATTAGGAAAAACAAGTGAATTTTCCAGATAAGTGACCAATTGCATTGGAACGATAAAGCATTCAGTTAAAACAACTGTAATCAAATCATTTCATAGACATATGTTTCGCGCAGATAACATTTCACATTCAGTCTGGACTACTGCCACCTTGACGTGGTAGTCGGGCTTGAGTGCTGCAGCGATCCCGTGGGCTACACTGGCTGGAACTTCGTTCCATAAGGTGCAACCATGCCAGCAAGGCCAAATGGGAGCAGCCAGACCAAGAGCAGCGAGACCCCGTACTACGAGTAATCGTGCTACGAAACGGTCTGGGGGTAAAGTCGTACTGTCCTCTGCGGCAGGAGTGTGAAGGCAGTAAGGTGTTTCCCCCAGGCGACCAGCATGTCCATATTTATGGAAGCAGCGATGCTGCCTTCCCCCGG